GCCTCGATCCAGATTTTATTTCCTGGTGGCATGCCTCGATCCAGATTCAGCGAGTGTTTCGTACCTTATAAAGATGTAGATGGCCTTGCGATAGTTGGTGCGAAACACAACATGGGAGGAACCCAAAAAGGGCTCCAACACATCGATGACACCTGGAGGCATCTTCTCCATCTCATCAAAAATGAAGACGGAGCGAGCGCACTCCGTCAGGTTTCCCTGAACCCAACTCTTTAACTCTTTCTGCAAACCAAAGCAGAAACGTTCAGTCCTCCCAGCAGCCTTTCTATCCAATATATTCAATGTCTATTATTATTATTATTCACATCTCAAATTAAGGATTATTATCATCATACATGTACTGTATTTAAAATATGTGATTATTGATAAATCTAGTAGGTAAGAAAGTCAATAAAGTGACACAATGACCTCTAACTCACCTTGTACCGATTGACCCGCTTCAGTGAGGGGAAGTGAAGTGTAGGGACAAACTGGTGGACAAATGGGCTGCTCATAGCCGAGCCATATAGATGATTTCCCAGCATGGAACTAACCAGCGTCTTTCCTGTTCCGGAGGAACCATGGAAGGACAGCACTAAGGGTTGATCAGGGCTTTTATTCTGAAGGAACTTTGCCACTTCCTCTGACACGATGTCCTGAACCAGATGTTGACCGAAGACATTCTTATAGAGGTCCCACTCCAAGTCTGCTCATCAGGACAGAAAAGACAATCACAAGTTGATGCTGCATGAACTTTCTTATACTGTCGATCAGGCCTGAAGATGAAAAAGTGTGTACAGACATTAGGCAAAGGAGGGATTCTATATGAATTTGGTTTTATTTTAACTAAAAGTATACATTGGTGATCTATCATTTCTCGACTCTTGATTTTACTTTTTTTAATCCAATCCAATTATTGCAATATCAACACTTTTTTTTTTTTTTGCTATCTTGAGCACCCTAGATGTTGATACATTTATTCTAAAGTCAAAATGGAACAATGTAAAAAAAATCTTATCTGTCCTACAAATTATTAGCTTCTGAAATAACTTACTATCTTATAATGCTTATAATGCTTATAATGCTACTCTCTGTCCAGGGGAGAGGAGAAAAGGACTGTTTCCCCCAACACCACAGTCAGACATCTTTATTATAATTTTGCATGTTTTTTTAATTGTATTTACCTTTTTACTAAATGTCTCATTATTTTAAATGCATGTGGCTTGTAGCTCACAGTTTCTATGAGTTATTGAATTTATTTTAAGTTCAGTAATACTAGAAGTAAAGACAGCTGGAAAAGCAAACTTCATGCAAAACTTTCCAGCTTAATTTAACATACATGAAATTAAAAAAGCACACTGTTGACACAGTCATTAGTGCAAAAAGCAAACCCAGAAAACTTTACAGTTTATGCTAAGTATGTTTTTGTTAGCCGAACTGTTTTGTTGTGCTAACCATTAGCCGCGCTGCTAACAAGAACTAGCATTAGCATCGCGACAAGCTCATCTTACCTCGGATATTAGGCTTAAAGTCGCAGTCGCAGCTGTCTGATATGGTGCAGTAAAGTTTCTGAAAAACGCAGCCCGCTGGACTACAAATATATAAGAGAAGCACAGACAGGACACCCAACATGTTGGCTTCCTGCCGGCACACAGAAACATTTGTACGTCTCCCTATATTTCCGACCGGTTAGTGTTGTAGTTCTTTCAATTCCCGGAAGCAGTTCAGAAACACAGAACACGCTGACAAAAAAGACTACATCTCCCAGAAAGCATCTGAACAAGCCCATTGACACGTTGGAGGATCCACAGTCCAGCATCGACACGTACTATTTTTTGTTCCAACAAACTTCTAGAAGATCATGTCTGCAGAAGATTACTTTACCTCCTGGTAGATATTTTTTTGGTCCTCTACTTTTGGAGAAATTAATTGGAAACACGTTTGGTTAAATGGAGAAAAAAAAAAGCATAACAAATAAGGTTAAAGAGGTTTCACATAAAATCAATCATAATGTATACCCTTTATCTTTATAACCTGTAATACATGTATAGCCCTGGCAGACACTTGTTTGTAAAATTGATAAAGTTTTGTAATTAAAAATAAATAAATAAAAGACACATACTATTTTTTAACCTAAGGCTAAAGCTTAATCTGTATTTTATCAACGCCACTTCAAATCATAAATGTATATATTTTTTAAAAATAAATAAAACTGAACTGTCCTGATTGTAAAGTCTTATTCGGTCTGAGGAGCTGCAACATAAACATATATATAAATATATATGCACACGCACGCACACACACAAAATAAACTCTTGTAAATCTGTGTCTTATAAGCAGCACCTTCTCATAGTGGATCAGCCAGTTTGCTGGTAACAGCCAGGACTAGTTGTTCACATGTAACAGCAGGATCATCAGCTTAATAATTGACCATTAGAGCCCTGATGGCTGCTTGCTATTGACAGAGGGTTGAGTGATACTAGTAATAACAACATTGTAAGAGGGGGACTGAACACGGAGACCTCCGCCCGTTTAACTAAAGGTGAGTTCTCTTCACAGAAATGGCTTCCTTTACTCCTCTCAAAGTAACAAAAGGACTGGATAAGCCATTGCTTCTTCCTGCTCCCTTTTCAAACATTTTTGTTTTATTTACAGAACATTTTGGTAGAATTATTGACCTGTTTTTGTTTGTTTTTTGTTTTGTTTATATTTTAATTGTTCTAAATTAAATAAATTAAAAATAGATCTAAAAAAGTTAAAAGTCAGGTCCTCTGGACGTTCAAAAAACAAAACAAAACAAGAAAATGTAGAAACGTTTGGTCTTTCAAAAGACTTCTTCAGTCTGAAGAAGTCTTTTGGATGAAAGACGAAATGTTTCTACTTTTTTTTTGTTTTTTGAACGTCCAGAAAACCAGACTTAACTTTTTTAGATCTTTCTACCTGGACTATTGAGCATGCATCGGGGAAAAAAGTGACCGCTGGCATGCAGATGAGTGTAGACCACAGAGTCCTGGCCTGATAATGTTGTTCTTCTGTCTGTGAGCCATCCTTTTGGCCAATGGCTGTTTAGTTTCCCCAGTGCTGATCATGGCCCTTCTGGCACTAAACTACATACGATATTACTGTTTGTGTCAGGGGACTGGATCTTTGGGATGGACCAGCCTTTGTCAAAATGCAGTGGTTCCTAACCCTGGTCCTTGAGGAACACCATCCTGCATGGTTTAGTTGCTTCTCTGCTGCAACACACCTGATTTGAATGAATGGGTGATTAACAGGCTTCTGTAGAACTTCCATCCATCCGTTATCTTTACCAGCTTCTTTCTTTTTGGGTCACAGGGGTCACTGGTGCCCATGTCCAGCAATCACTGTGCAAGAGTCAGGGGACACCCTGGACATGTCTCCAGTCCATCACAGGGACACTACAAACAACCATTCACTCTCTCTCACACACCTAGGGATGATTTTAGAGTTACCAATCAGTCTAACGTGTATGTTTTTGGTCTGTGGGAGGAAACCAGAGTACCCAGAGAAAACATGCAAACTCCACCCAGAAAGGACCTCTGACCTGGATTTGAACCAGGCAACCTGCTTGCTGAGAGGCAGCAGCTCTACCAACTGAACCACCGTGCAACCTTGACATGCATGGAAAAGGAGCAGGAATGTGACCTCTAACTTGATGTTTGGTGCAATATCACTTTGATAAATCTGAATATTTCAACTACAAACTTTTATTTATTATTAAATTCAGCCAATATTTACTAGAGTTTAAAATAACTGAGGACATTAAACCTGTAAAAATGTAATTTATTTCATGTAATCTGTAAAGGGTGCTATAATAATAAAAATCAAAGGCTCATAGCTCAACAATTTAATTTAATTTTCTTAAATTTTAGGAGAAAAAAAACACCATCAACCACTCCTGTGAATAAAATGTTTATTAACAGTTATATCAAACTCTACATATAAATATTAGACATTAATATTGTGTAAAACTACAGAAATAATCTTTAACTGTGTTATGTGCTGTTTGAATTCAGGGTCAGTTCATTCACTTTGCTCTGATGAGTGAGCAGACTTTATCAATAAACACAGAAAACTCAGATTATTTAACGCGTTCACGTTTACACAACTGCAATGCAATTATTCTAAACATAACGATCTAAAATGAGAATACAAAATGTTTCTGCTGATGAGCTGTATGTGACTCGGGGAAGGTCCAGCCTTCAGGCAGATCCAAGTATTTAAACAGAAGCACATCAACCTCTCAGACCGAGGCGCCTCTTCTCTGTGATTATTTGATTAAAAAATAAAAATCAACCTCAGGTTTCCTGTAGCTGCAGCCTTTTCACTCTTACTGACAAGCATTTGGGTTGATCGAGGGGGCGCGTAGCTGATCACCTCCTAAAAACTTTGAATTCTCAGAAAGCTTGAATTTCCAAGTTCTGGCCATAAAATGAAAGCAGAACATCCTCGGACTTTCAGTTCCTCGCCCATTTTGACCCTAAATTCTACCATTCCTGCCTCATGCACAAAAATTATACCTGCAGAAAAGAGTTATTTCTGCATCTGTCAATTTGTATCTCATTAAATCAGAAGCACAAACACAACTTCTCTTAGTTAAAGTGTTGCCTCGGTGCTTTTTATGCTTAAATACAAAAATAAGCTAATTCTGATACATATTTTTCTATGCATGGTCCTTGATGTGTAGACAAACATAATGTTAAGTTTACGTTGATAATTATGGTCACTGAGCAGAAGAGGGAGCTAATCTGACTGGTTTTCTGAGTTACAACTGGTTAAGTTGGGTGTGGAGTCATTCCCAGATGAAAATTTTAACACACAAGTCAAATCTCATCATTAATTACCTCCTCTATGAATCTTGAACTGATTGAGTCACCTTGCTGCTGCTGAGCCTGAAGCTTAGGAACCAGAACGTTTGTCAAACAGAACCCAGCTGTTTCTGCAGGCCACATCAGTTTGAACAGAAGCTCCAAAACAGGTTCAACCATTAAAACTTCAAAAGGACAAAACTAAACATTTTATCCACCAGCAGATCATTTCTTCCGATCACTGGGTGGATGTTTTAACTATAATCTCGTTTCCGTGACTTCCACAGATCGAGTCGTATGTTCTGTTCAAAAACTAGAATAGAATAGAAATATTTAAAGTTTGGGACGGAGCCTCATGGGTCAAACTGAGATCGGTGTTTTTGGGATTGAACTGGAGCAACAAACGGACCAGTCTGTAACAGCTGACGGCTGCTTCTTTATCTAAAATCTTTTTACAGAACGAGCATTAAATTAACAGTTTGATAGTTTGTCATAAACATGAATCCTTATAAAAGCTGTACAAACTACAACGAGACACACATTTACAAAACAGAGAAGGTTTGCGTACTGCAGGACTCCATTATGGCTTCTTTTACACTGTACATACTCTGCAAATCAAAACGGTTCACCGAGAGACAAACGTTCAAGTAGCTCAAAACCATGACGGAGCTTTAGGGCCACACTAAAAAAAAAAAATAAAGTTTTAGTATTACGAGAATAAAGTCGTACGAGACTTTTTTTTTTACAGCTCTCGTTTATTAAAAAAAATAAAAATCCACCAGTCGGATCCATGATGCGACCTGTCAATTAATCCAGCAGGCGTGTCAGCAAATGACCAATCCAAAGCTGAATGAGTCGTAATATTATCTGAACTCCGACACGATAAAGCAGGTTTACCATTTTAACTGTGATAAAATGAACAATGTTGAGCATCATGTTACGTTAGACTTTGGTACAAATACAAATAAGGAGACAGTTAATCCGTCAGCACATCAGCATCAGATTATCATCAGTATCAGGACTTTGAACCTGCTCACAGTGAGGTGGTACGCTCTGATGGGCTGCAGCAGCTCTGCAGGTGAGGAGCATTTAGCTTCGGATTGGTCATTTGCTGACACGCCTACTGGATTGATTGACAGGTCGCGTTGTGGATTCGACTTGTGGAAATAAATAAATAAATAAACGAGAGCTGCCAAAAAAAAAAATTTGTCTCGTACGACTTTATTCTCATAATATTAAGACTTAAAAAAAAAACGTTCAATACAAAATCAACTGGACTTTATTTGTAACAGAAGATGTTTCGCTCCTCATCCGAGGAGCTTTCTCAATTCAATCAGCAGTGAGTGAGGGGTTCAGATTATAAGGCTGAGTGAGATAAGACACATACATGTGTAAATTTGACAATTCACACCACAACACCTTAACAGTAGAGGTTTCTTAAAGTCTTTGTTACTCCGATTCACAGATGAGGCCCCTCTGTTCCCATCAGGTGTGAAAACTGGCTGGGAATCAGTCTTAAAGTTGCATTATAGGTTTTTGAAAGTGGAAATCTGAGGCCTCCTCCTCTGTTGAGATGTTTTTTCTCTTTTTACATATATTACTTCCTTCACCCCCCTCTCAAACCATCTGTGTTCTCGGTCCAAAATGTGCACATTGTCCTCAAAAGTGTGTCCCTTATACAATACAATACAATACAATACAACTTTATTTATAAAGCACTTTAAAACAACACTGTTGGCCAAAGTGCTGTACACTAACACATACAAGCATAAAAACTATGAACTCAACAAATACCATAAAAGTAATGGAACTACCAAATCATAAAGCAGCAAACAGTAACAACAATAAAACAAATAACATAAAACAGTAAAAACAACATTTCAAGCTGCGTTAAAAGCCAAAGAGAAAAAACGAGTCTTCAGAGCAGATTTAAAAACAGGAAGTGAGTCAGCTTGTCTGACGTGCAGAGGCAGCTCGTTCCACAGTTTAGGGGCAGCGACTGAGAACGCTCGGTCACCTTTCAGCCTCCTGATGGACTTTGGGACGGCCAACAGCAGCTGATCAGCTGACCTAAGAGAGCGTGAGGGAATGTGCGGCTGGAGAAGGTCGGACAGATACTGTGGGGCGAGGCCATGAAGACGTTTGAATACAAACAAAAGAACCTTAAAATTAATCCAGAAATGAACTGGGAGCCAGTGTAGCGATTTTAAGACAGGGGTCTTATCTGAGGTGGAGGTGAACAGCTGAATCTTGTTCAGAGGAGGTGGCTCTCCTGTGTTGAGCCATGCGTCTGTGAAGAGGCTGTTTAGTTTCTCCAATGCAGAGGTCTGGACAGTCCTCGCTGCACTGGACCGCATACACTACACCACTCTGTGTATGGGTGTTTTGTCCTTAGGGTGGACCAGTGTCTGTCTGAGAGTCCTGCTGGGTTTGAAATGTACTGGGATGTTGTGTTTGTTGAAAATCCTTCTGAATATTAAGACTTCATTCAACTTTATTCTCATAATTTTATGGCTTTAATTTTTTTTTTTCTTAGCGTGGCCCTAAAGCTCCGTCGTACAAAATAAAGTGACATGTTTGGAGTTTTTTTTTTTAAGTTAAAATACTTAAATATTTCCAAAAATGTATATATTTTTAGTGTCTCTTTTAAATCCAAGAAATGCTGTGGGTGATTTGACATCACTGTGGTGGCTCTGCTTCTCCTACAAACTGCTCCGATCCTTCTGACTCTTTAAGGCTCGAGTGACATTTCATTCAACTTGAAGCAGTAAAGTTCTGAAAAGCCGCCATGCAGCAGGTCAACTTCACGCGTCACATTCCATCTGCTACATTCGACCGACTTCAGTCAGAAACTGAACGACCTCAGTCGATTTTCATGAAACAGTTTTTTCTGTTGCCCGGTGTCCAGAGGTGGTCTCATCGTGGACAAAGGACCTGTTAGAAGCAGGTCTGGGATCAGGGTCTCTTGAGCGGTGGCTCCAACCTATTGGACAAGGCGGTTAGCACCTGGTCAAACTTGGAGAACCTCAGTGCCTGGTTCTCTTGGGCTCCTCTGCTCCCCCACAGCAGTCTCATCTGGAAGTCAGTCAGGAAGATCTCCCTGACCTCCGCCTGCTCCTGAAAGCCTGGAATCCAACAGTTTATCATCAGAATCAGTCGTGGATTTACAAAGACGGCTGCAACGTTAGACGATGATTAAAACGTCTGAACGCTAAGAAATGAAACTTCACTGCTTCTTCTGTTAATGTGTTGATCAAAGTATTGCAACGGTAATTTAATTTTAAACTTAATCTAGTTTTTCCTGATTTAACGAGCGCCGGTGTCTTACCTCGTAATTTGCTCTCAGCATTGGAGCGGTAGAGGCCTCCCAGCTGAGCCATGGTCCTCGCCGCCCCCAGGTGGAACATGACCACATCCACGCTGACCTCCACCGTCTCCCATGGCTCCGTCCCCTCACCCACTGCCAAGCTCTTCTCCAGCAGGGTGAGGAGGGGGAGGACGTGGGGGAAGGTGGTGTTGCACGGTGGACAGGTCTCTGGAGGACAGACACATGGACAGATTCTGTGAGTTTTCATCAGAACGTTCCAGAAACATGAAACGGTGAGATTAGAACCCTGGTCCAACATCGTTTGGTTCATTCTTCACGAAGCAGGAAACGCTCTACCTGTTCCATCATTGAGGCTCCTCAGGAACGGTCGCAGAGTCTTCTCGTAAAGAACGGCTCCGTCTGTGTGTCGCTGCCGTAACGCAGTCCACATCTGCTCCAGGCGAGACACCTGAGAGACGGAGAAACGTTAACAATAATAAAAAACTATTTTAAAAGTCTCCAAGAGAAGAAAAGAACACCAAGATGCATTCTGGAGTTTTTCCACCGCTCGTCTTCTCTGCCACACTTTCAACTTTTTAAAACTTTCGTCCACCCTCGAGCAGAGAACGAAGCTTCTGAATCATTCTTTGACATTTAGAAACCGTCCAGAGGAATCAAAGTCCATACTCAATCATCCAGGTACCAAATCCAGTAATGCTCAGTCAGGTCATCTGGACAGTTTCAAGACGTTTCGCCCTCTATCCAGAAGAACTTTATTGGATTTTTTTTTATCAAAATGAGGAAGTCAGGATTAATGGCTACAATGAGCACGTTTTGCAGTGCACAGCTTTTTGAAGCGCAGTTTGAAACATGATCCTGCAGCTCTCAGCTCCTGCTCAGTGTTTAGCTGGACCTGGACCTGGACCTGGACCTGGACTTAAGTGCAGCAGAAAAGTCGCAAAGAGCGCAAGAGCGGGCTGGTTCACGGGAACGCGCTCACAAGAGAAGAACCTGACAAGTTGTTTAGTGACATAAAATATATTTTGTTAGCAAAGAATAGAGTTCTAACATTTGTTCAACATCTGTTTTTACAACAAATAAAAAAAAAACATCAAAATTGTGCTTTGACAATCGATAAAACAAAATTTTTTGTCAACGTGAAAGAAGAAAGAGGGGGCAGGTAACGCTCTCGCTTTGAGTTGATACTCTTTGTTG